TCCGATCAGTAATACTTCAGTGTTTCCTTATATTTGGTATCTATCTTGATTCACCCACTGCCTTGTATTTGAAATTTTAGCTGTGTTTTTGTTCTGGATAGCACTTACCTTAGTTCATGATTAGGGCTCCTCAGTGCTCTAACAAAACAAGTAATAAATCATTACAGGCCCACTTAATTGGACTGTGTTAAATTTTTTATTCTGCATTCTGAATGATGCAGATTATTACACTGATCTTTTTTTCAAGGTCCAGGTTTCTTTTTCATCTGTGGCTCCTGCAATCATATTAACCATAAAGAAATTACTTACCACCTCCCATAGAATGAATTATAAAAAAACACTGTAGACAGTCACAATGTTCTGCGGTTTTCCTCAGCTTTTCCACAATGTTTTCCCGGTACTGACACCCATATAGCTTATGACCTACAGCCCTGAGGATAAGAAAAGTACTTTAAAAAAAAAAAAAATCCAACAATCAATCTTTCAGTTTTTTATTTTAACTCCTCCTATGTGACCTTTTAGAGTTCAGAGTCCAGAGCTGGGTGCAACACTCAATTTGTGAGAGTTGCTAAGCTGTGACTACATCATGTGAATATGGGAGTCAGGATATGGTTTTCATTTTGAGGATGCAAGCAGCACTAAGTTCAGAGCTTTGGAGCATGCACCTTTATTTTGTACCAATAAGGAGATCAACTCCCACATTGAATGATCAAATTGTAATTATGAAAGGAAAGTTATACAGTCCTGAACAATAAAGATATCCCTATGTAATACATGTACTGATCTCCCTTTGAGCACTATGTGAGGCAATTGCTGCCAGTAATAAAAAAAACCCCAAGCAGCTCATTTTCAATGCACTTGCCCGCTAGATGGTGAAGTTACAAGATGCTTTATTCCCTGTGTTGCCCTCTCTTCTGGTACATTTGCTGATGATTTGCTTTCCAGTCTGTAGTGCACTGAATGTTATTAGAGGTGCATTAAGGTCTCGGAGAAAATTTGGAATTCATTATGTTAATCAATCTTTTCCTGAATTTCTCTTTTCGGTAATGTAGTTTATATGCACAAAGCCAGACTCTGTGGTGCTTAGAAATCAGAAGTGCATTTGTTCATATATCTCATTTCCACACTAGCTGCACAGTCTCAAACTAGATTATGGCTTCAACTAAGCAATGGAAGCAGCTGAATACCAAAGAAACAAAAATAAAAATTGTGTTCTTTTGAAAAACAAAATCAAAAAAGAGGAAGAAAAAAAATAGACAAAACGATGTATCAGCAGAATCATCCTTCTGTAAAGGAGGCTTTTCAAAGTCCTCCTCCAGGCAAGAGCGACTCCAAAGTTTACTGGTAATATGCTGCAGCTCCCCAGGTGCAGAACCAACCAGAAAGCTACTGTTACCATTTCCCTTTTCAAATGCCATCTAATTAGTTGCTAAGAAATGCTTTCTGAAGAGGTTCTCACCAGTTGTTTCCTGAACCAGAAACATCTGTGATAAGCTGCTTGCTATCAAACACATCCCTCAATGGTCCCTGCAGAATTTCATTTACCACGCCCTCCTCCATGTCAATCAACAGCGCCTTTGAGAAAGCAGAGAATTAACTCAGTCAGTAAGCAAACCACCCTTCGAAATAATCACACAAAGAAATATAGTTATTTACAATATAAAAGGTATGTTGTTTCCACTGTGCTCCAGAGAAACTTTTTTTTTTAGTTAACACGGAGACCAACTAGATTCACCTTGGCTGATTTGTTAGAAGTCGTTCAACAGGACAGCATTTCAGATAATGCAATTTTGTTAAAATTTTATAATATTTTGCCCTAATACTTAGGAATAAAGAAATTAAAGCATTCTTATGTTTCAAGTTTCCTTGCTTCTTCATTTCAAGTGGCTCAAAGAAACCCACTTCTTTGAAAATTCAAATAAAATCTTGGTTGGTAATATCTGCAATCATTTTATTAAAATTGTAATATAAATTACTCAACAAGACTGGCAGCAAACTGCATTACTCCACTGAACCATAGAAGTTACTATTAGAAATTTTACTATTCAAAGTAGTATTTAAAAATGTGTGCAATTATAAGGACCTTATGAAAATTCCTATACAGCTGGACATAAATATGCAATGTAAGAAGAATGACCTTTATAGATTGCCTTACTCGTGCTTTTAAAGAGCAGATTTTTCCTCTGTAAATATCAGGACCATCACCACCACTTCTGGAAAAAAAAAAAAAATCCCAAGCTCAGAATCGTAACAGAAAATAAGGCAATATATATTACAATAAAATTCCCTCCTTAATCTTTCATGTTCAGACGTCTGTTACAGAGTAAACAAACAGAAACACCCTGAACAGGCTGCTAAGCAAGACCTCGTAATTCCCTAAAGCGTTGCAATTACAGGACAGGACCCCAATCAGAAATACCCTAAGCAGTACTTCAGGAAGCTGAAACGATAAGCACTGAAAGTCTACTCTCAGATACAGCCTTTGCTCTGTGGTAATTCTATAAGGACTGCCAAAACTTCAAAGGATTATCTTTTCTCCAGCATGTGGTATGTAAATCTGCATCATATCGTGGAACACAGTAGCACCACTAGCTTTTCAATGGGGGTAGCATAGCACTGTACTACTGCTCAGGGTGTGAAAGCTGTGTAACTACACTAAGCACACCACTGTGCTTGACTTATTTTGCCATTAAGATTTACCAGTTCAGAAATCATGCTGGGTTGACGTAGCTTAATTTTCCTTTTTTTTCCAGGACTGGCTGTACTGAGCCAACCTAGGGGATGATGCGTTGTGTACAATCACATTTTTTCCACAATGAATGCTGGTGCTTCTGCACTCAAAGGATGAGCTACTCTGGTCTGGCCAAATCATATTCAACACAGGGAAAAAGGGCAGGGATACTGGAAGATGTAATGTAGATTAAGAGAAGATACTAGAATGATGGATCTACTGCATTAAACTCATGAGCTGCTTGATAAGAAGACTTACCTTGTATCGACGTTCCTAAAGAAACTGCTTAATGCTTCATCATAAATTCCTTTCTAAAAGGAAACAACATGACATTAGATGATGTGTAACATCAGAAATTCTCAGTGCTTCTTCACAGAATAATTTAAGTTGGAAAGGACCTCTGAAGGTCACCTGTCAAACCTCCTCACTCAGAGTGAACGTCTGTGGTAAATCCAACTAGCCCTAGTCAGCTCTAAAAAGAACATTTAATTGAGGCATCAACTTGATATTAAAAACTGACAAAAGGACATAACTAGGAAATTAATTTTTCAGCACAAGATTAAACAACTACTCTTCCTTCATTTCTAAAGATTTTGGATTTTACTGAAGATCCCAATGCAATTATTAAATTGAATAGCTGCTGTTTAGCTGATTCATTTCATCATGGCCTCCATACCCATGATACCAATGTCCATGAAGTTCTGTGGAAAGGAAAGCACATCACATTGTATGAGCGATTCCTAAACTCCCTGCTGAGGGGCGGCGTGGAAATTACTTCTGGAACTATAAAGCTAAAGAGACCTGGCAAGTTTAAATACTTTATTATTTTACAGACTGCTTATCATACTCCTAAAGACCTGATGAAGCAGAATTTGGAAGCTAATGTTCCCTACAAGACTAAACCCAAGAGACTCCCCATACGCATACGAACTTCATCCATCGGTTTTTACAAGTGCTTCAAGAGAAGGCGTTGAGGAGGACCGCCCGTCGTTACCTGTTAACGTACAGCGTTCACCAGGAAATAGCACCTTCAGAGCCACAGCACGAAGCGTGCATTTTTGGTCAGGGTACTCAGCACAACCCCGTGCCCTCTCCGCGCTGCCATGCTGGGCAGCACAACCGCACAGCAGGTCACCGCACGGCGGGTGCTGAGGCGGAGATCTGAGCCGGGCTTTGCTGGGCCGCGCTTTTGCTTTCAGGCAAAGAACCCGGGCCTGACAGCCCCCCCCGTCCCCGCCTGCTGCAGGGGGGCGTCCGGGGCTGCTCGAGGGGAGCCCATCCGAACTACGGACAGCACTTCAACGGCACAAAAAGCTGGGGACAGTTTCGGGCGCAAGGAAGCGGCCTCAGCCTCACCGAGTAAATGCGGTGCTTTCCAGTCACAGTAAGGCACACGGAAGGA